TATATATATTTATTTATTTATTTCTTTTACAGGGACAGGGCACAATTAACAGCTAATTTGCATTTGTTATCCCTGGGCAGGCAGGCAAAACAACAACAACAGCAACAGAGAACAAAATAATTACAACATAATACAGCACAGTCTATAAAAAGAACATTATTGTGACATATTGAATAAAATTAGTACGTTAATGAAATACATATTAGAAGAATGATAACTACAGTACGTATTGGTTTGAGAATGGCAATAAATGCAAAGGGATCATTGGTGGCAGCCGTTTTGAGGTAACTGTACCCAAAGCTGGAAGTTATTTTCAACAGTGTTGTGCTGACACGTTAAAAAAAGTATTGTGACAGTAATGTATTACCTCTAGTGGTAAAAAAGTAATATAACAAGTCATAATTGTAATACTGATAGTTACTGGGTTCAATCATGCTTTATGATGTTGAGGCAAATTTAAATGCAAGGAGGACATGATTTGGTACCAGCCTGATCAACTTCTTCTTCATTAAAACCTTATCTGGATTAGTATCATTACTTACTGTAGAAATCTGTCTATCTCATTACTTCTTTCTCACCCCAACCAGTGCACAATAGGGCCAGAAATCATTTTTTAAAAGAACATTCACAGTCATGGTTTCGTGAAATAAAATACACATTCGAAATACAAGCAGTCACAAACTTAAGTAAAACGCAGCATTGTGACGAATGAAGCGTCATTGTGCTTTTTAGATACGATTTCAGTCACAGTTTGGAAAATAAGGATCACTCTGTTTGGCTGTGACCAAGCAAATGCAAATCAGTCTGCCTCTGAGAGGAATACTCTGCTTTACGGTAATCTGCCGCCAGCGAGCGGCGTTGGCCACCTTCAAAATAAAAGCTCCATCATTTATGCATGCACGTCAATTGTTTGGATTTTAAAAAACATATATGAATAAAATAAGTAATTTCTTGGCTGTCGGGGAACGATTCACCCAAGTTCACCCAGGAAGAATAAGAACTTTCAGAACAGCGCAGAAAATAAAGTCAATGGTAATTCTTTTTTAATAAAATCATTAAAAAATTAATCTTGGTGACCCCACAACCACACCAGGTTTTCGACACACTACGGCACCCCAAGGTATCCAACCACAGCACTGGCATTCACATCTGATGTTCAATTGCAAAATAAAATGCCTCTGAAATATAACATTTTGACCTCCTTGCCTTATTAAAAAAAATAACGTAAAAAATAATTTTAGTTAGACCTCAATCAGACCAGGTCTATAGGACACTAGAGCACCCCAGGTATCCAATCAGATTACCCTCGCTCAGATCTAATGTCCCATTTCAAAATAAAACACCTCTGAAATATGACATTTTGACCTCCTTGCCTTATTTAAAAAAAAATTATGTAAAAAAGAATTTTAGTTTGCCCTCAATCAGACCAGGTCTATAGGACACTAGAGTACCCCAGGTATCCAATCAGATTACCCTTGCTCAGATCTAATGTCCCATTTAAAAATAAAACGCCTCTGAAATATGACATTTGGACCTGAATTCTGACATGTCGACCTTTTTGCTCATTTTTAAAACATCTTAAAAGAAAGAATTTTAGTTTCCCTCAACCAGACCAGGTATACGACATACTAGGGCACCCCAGGTATCCAACGAGACAAGCCCCAAACAGATCTGATGTCGCATTTCAAAATAAAAGGCCTCTGAAATCTGATATTTGGACCTGAATCTTGACATGTTGACCTTTTAGCCCGATTTTTATAAAATCTTAAAAAAAAAGAATTTTAGTTATTCCGCTGGGAAGAGCAAGGATACTGCGCAGAACCCTCAAGCTTCCTGGCCTCTGGTAGAGGACCTGAGCTGAATGGGGGACGGACACCACCCGAGGGGTGAGATGAGGATTGTTTTTTTTTTTTTTTTAATCAAAGATGATGTCTGGATTAATGGCTATGAGTAGCAGTCACAAAGCGGGATGATTGATGGCAATATTTGGCACGTTTTCGCTGAAAAAAACTCAAGCGGCTTAGCAGCGTGACTGGGGTGTAATGTCTTTAAGTGACGCCTTAATTTATTTGGCTGCCAACATTTTTAGACACAGTAAGTGCACTTTACTCGTCTCCCACCATAGTTACAGTGAGGCCAAGCACTGCATACGCTTCGTCATATTTCCTCGTCTTAGCTTTCGGGAGACCTCTTTTCTCCGTCTCTCTCCGCCTGTCGACTTCGTGTCTACTCATACTCTGTGCCGTGTACAAAACGCGCATGATCTTTGCAAACAAAACACCGAGCGAATGCTCCCTCTGCACACTCTGCCAATGAGAGCGCCACTGCCCCCTAATGTAGTGAAGGTGCAATTGCACTTCATTCTAGGACAGTAAAGAAAAAATCAAAATAAAAAAGCATGTTCCCCGAGGCCAAACGCGTCCCCCTTGACGGAGCCTCGAGCCTCCCTAGGGGGGCGCGCCCCACTATTTGAGAAACAGTGGCTTAAGACAAGGAGTCAGGCGGCCTAAGCCCGCGGGATGGGATGTAGGCCCACTAGGACGAAACACCATCACTTCTGTCTTCTTTTCATTGAAATTCAAGAAATTTCGTGCCACCACCCAGGTCTTAATTTCCTCCAGGCAAGATGCTTGTGGAGGCTCTCAGTCGTACGGGAAAGTTCCATCGTAGAAAGGGTTCCGTCAGTCGTCATCTGTACCTGTGGGTATAAAACAAAAAACAAATAATTATGTTTCACTTCTCTCACAGAAGCTTCATCAGCGGTAGACAACTCTGAAGTCTCCGTGAAGACTCCGGGAAATTGCTCTGCGCTAAAAAGCTGAGCGTGGCCTATTTGAGGACTGGGCGGGGATGGTTAGTCACGCCCCTATGGTGAAGAGGCCCATTGGTTTCTAAATTCCCTATTGTTGGGTCTTGATTAGGCCTATTGTTTGGGCCTAGGGCTGAATAGCTACTTACAGTTAGCCTGATCAGCATGTCTATGTCCCTTGGTGGTCAACAAGTTATTGTAAATAGGAGACAGGTTAAATCTGATACCTCCTTCACGGTTCAGAGAGGGTGAAAATTTTTTAACAAAAATCGCTTCCTTTACTCCCCTTTCAAACCATCTCTTTTCTGTTCCTAGGATTTTTACTTTTTCATCTTCAATTGTGTGGTTTGTTTCTTTTAAGTGAGCGTATACTGCACTTTTGTTCTCATTGTTTTTCCATTTGTGTTGATAAAGTCTTTTCTTGAGTGTTTGTTTGGTTTCTCCGATGTAATGTTCCTTGCACTCACTTTCTTGGCAACGGATGGAATAAATCAGATTGCATTTTTGGGTGTTAGGAACCCGGTCTTTGGGGTGTACTAGTTTTTGTCTCAATGTGTTTATCGGTTTAAAATAAACCGACGACTGTACGACTGAGAGCCTCCACAAGCATTGTGGATGAGGTGGACTTTTTGATGGATGTTCTATTCCCAGAGGTAATGTTATCCCCAGCTGCTCCACACTTTCAAAATAGATACAAAAATATAGATTTATTTGTATTTGTAGATTGAAATATTTTAGAAAATATTCACACAATGTACAAATCCTTTTCTCTTAATAGGCTATTATTTATGGTCTCGCCGTGACCCACAAGGTCTCAGTGGCACATGCCGAAAACTTATTGATTGTTGGACAAACGTTACACACAAGGTAAGAGTAAACCATCTAATTCTCTTTCAACTAAAATGCAATTAAATCCTTACTCCCTTTCTCATGTCCCAAATAACACATTTCAAAACATTTCAGTTTCTGTTGCATTTCATGTTTTACAACCTTATTTCAGTGAAAGAGACCAATTTGAGCAGAGGATCGAAAAGGAGTTGCGACAACAAGGGAAGTGAATGAGTGAGCAATAAAGTGCTTTTTCAAAAATATTTTTTGTGTTTTATTTGCCTACAGTGCTTTAGAAATGGACATGGATCATTTAGGGAATATAGGTATACATTTTGGTGGGGATACAGAATCTGGTTTTATTTTATATTTATTATAATGCATAAAAAGCCAGGTGTTGTGTAATTTTTGTATTATATTAAAACCTTATGAATTATTGACTCTACTCGTCAAAATACAAATAAGTCAAAGTAATTATTGTATTATATTAAATGGACATGGATCATTTAGGGAATATAGGTAAACGTTTTGGCGGGGATACAGAAGCCAGGTGTTTTGTAATTCTATTCAATTAAAATTCTATTCAAAGTGCGAGGAGGCTACACTAAGGCGAATGTCGTCTGCTTCTGCTTTTGATAACTTGTTATTTTTGATCGCTGTTTCTACCGCTGTGATGTAGTCTGTTTTTGGTATGTTGTTAGGTGTAACTGAAAAGTTCAGGCCTTTGGCAAGCACTGTTTTCTCTGCTTCTGATAAGTCACGATGAGATAAATTCTTAATCCATTTTTCCTCACAAGGGATTTCTTCAATTTGGTCTGATTTGGCCCTGTATTTACTTGGAGTGGTTTCTTTGCGCTTAATCAAATTTTGGAACTTTTTAATTTGCCGTTTTTTTGGAGATTTCATGCTGTTTTATGGATGTTAAATGGATTAAGTTCTACTCCAGGCAAGATAAAAGTGGACTCAATGAGTGTCTTTTTTGCTCAATAGAACATAGATCTGACAGTCATCCGCATAGCAGTGGAAGGAAATACCATGTTTCCTTAAGATGGAACCCGATGGGAGCAGATACTCTATTCCCATGATCCTCTGCATAGCTGATAGGTCGCAGTTTAAATTGTGCTTCGTAAGCGTGTCTTCAACGTGTCAGCACAACATCAGTCTGTCAAGCGGGCCCATCTTCAAAGCGATTGGCTGGCAACTGTTTCAGGTGTCCCCCGCTTACTGCCCGAAGACAGCTGGGATAGAATCTAGCACCCACCACAACCCTTATGAGGAAAAGCGGATCGGAAAAACAGATGGATGGGTATTCTGGGCTACAATGTTTCTGCTGTGTGTATGCATGAGCGGCCCACGGAGCAAGACAGCGGTGAAACAGGCGGCAACCGCCATCACATAAGCATGAAATGCCAAGTACGCTCAAATGTGGCTACAATATTTTTATAATGTTTAGTCACATTGGCTAAAAGATTTCATAACCCAACGCCAACCTTGTGTATAATGTGGAACATTTGAAGGCCACGAATCAACTTTTATTAGATCAGACATTCATTTATGGACTTATGGAAATTATGGGCATATTGTTATTGGACTTTCTAATGTTAATTTAATGATGAAACAATTTTATGCAGAAGACAAGAAACTTAATTTGAGTATCCAGTCATTTTTTTTCAGATTATTTTCCCCTTGTTTGACTAAGGCAAGGAAAGTATTATTTAAGGGGAGGTTTTGGAACTTTTTCTGTTTTAAAAGTTAAAAATATTTTGGGACAATAGGCTTACATTCGCACATTCTCTGCCCATGTTTTTCAAAAACCCTAAAAACCGGAAACAATAATTATTCAGTGGTTACCAAAAACAAAAGGGTATTTAAGTATTAATGGCTGAAATTGTGGGTGGCCCGGTGGTCGAGTGGTAAGCGCATCGACCTCACAGTGCAGAGGTACCGGTTCGATTTCAGCGCCGGCCTACCTGTGCGGGGTTTGCATGTTCTCCCCAGGCCTGCGTGGGTTTTGTCTGGGTACTCCAATTTCCTCCCACATTCCAAAAACATGCATGGCAGGCTGATTGAACACTCCAAATTGTCCCTCAAGTGTGGGCGCAGATAGTTGGTCATCTCTGTGTGTCCTGCCCTGGCAACTGGTTCAGGGTGTACCCTGCCAACTGCCCGAAGACAGCTGGGATAGGCTCCAGCACCCCCTGTGAGGATAAAGCAAACAAAAGACAGAAAACAAAAACATGACACATGCACAGAGATACACACACACACACACACACACACACCCAACAGCAACAATGATCCGACACCAACTGGTCGTGCAGGGAGTCCTTTTAACACAACACGAGCTAATGACCAAGAGGTGTGCCACTGCAGGAGGAACCCTACAGTGCCTACTGTTGGTCACAAACAGAAGCACCCTAACAGTACCCCTCCATCAATGGACGGATCCCAGATGTCCCAAAGTCACCCAAAGGCTTGCTTCGCCGGGGAACAGGAACGGAGAGTGATGGCACCCCTTGCCTCACCGGGAACAAGATTGGAGGGCGATGGTAATCCTTGCCTCACCAAGGAACAGGAATGGAGGGCGACGGCAACCCGTGCTTCACCGGGGAACAGGAACGGAGGGCGCCGGTAACCCTTGCCTTGCCAGGGAACAGGAACGGAGGGCAGTGGAACCAGGCCTCTGGTCTTGCGGGGTCCAGTCTTGGTCGGATCATTCTGTTACATTTTGCGTGATGGTCGTGCAGAGGAGGACCCCAAAAAGCAGGGAGGCAGGGTGGAGCAGGGTGGCTGACCGAGATGTATTTAACAAAAATGCAAACAGAAGTACACAGGAGAAACTAACTCAAAAACTCACTCAAATAAAGTCCAGAAAATCTGAGGAAACAAAGTAGCAACCAAAACCTAAGTCAGAAAACAAAAACATGACACATGCACAGAGATGCACACAACAGCAACAATGATCCGACACTGACTGGTCTGGCAGGGAGTCCTTTTACAGAACACAAACTAATGACACAATGACCAACAGGTGTACCACTGCAAGAGGAGCCCTACAGTGCTACCTGTTGGTCACAAACAGAACCACCCTAACAAAAAAGGACCATCAGGACTGTTATGGTGGCAAAGTTCAAAAGCCAGCATTTGTGTTAGTGGCAATAGCACGCGTAACTGTGAAGGCACCATTAATGCTGAAAGGTATACAGAGGTTTTGGAGAAACAAATGCTGCCATCCAAGCAACATCTTTTTCATGAACGCCCTTGCTTAATACAGCAAGACAATGGCAAACCACATTTTGTACGTGTTACAATCGAGTGGCTTTGTCATAAAAGAGTGTGAGGTACGAGACAGACCTGCCCGCAGTACAGACCTCTCTCCCATTGAAAACGTGTGGCGCATGATGAAGCATAAAATACAACAACGGAGACCCCAGACTGTTCGACAGCTGAGACTGTACATCAAGCAAGAATGGGAAAGAATTCCACCGACAAAGCTTGAACAATTAGTGTCCTCAGTTCCAAAACATGTATTGAATTGTTATTGTCACGATTTGCGTGGTGGTCATTGGAGGACCCCAAAAGCAGGGAAGGAGGGTGGAACTTTCACAAAAATACAAACAGGAAGTACACTGGAAAATTACTAACGACAAGTATTCAAACAACGTCTTGGAAATCACAAGGAAGCTAAAGAAACAAAAGAAAGCTGTGACAGACAACAAAAGTGTCAGGAGCGGAGCACACAGATACTCACATATCGCACACACACTCGCAATGACCCAACAAAGACTGACAGAACTCAGGAAACTAAATATAAGCAAAGTGACGAGACAACTAGAAACACCTGGACAAGACACAAAGGGTTGAGGGTGCTGATTGATTCAACACAAGGGACACTGATGACGAAAACAGGTGGTGACAAAAAGGGCACATTAGGAAACAAAACCAAACGTAACCAGACGGAAACATAGTGGTTATGGGTAAGAAAAAGTAAAGACAGCATTAGATCGAAAAGCGAATGGGAGACACTTGATAGAGCTTTGAGGGAGTGTTTAATGAAAGTTAGAGTATGATGATCCAGGTCGGGACACAAGGATGGCTGGCAACAAATAGATGAGGTTCTGGCTTAGTGTTAAAATATGTCTTGTAATTTTTTTTCTTTCTCAAGGAAAAGAGACATTGTCTTTTTTTTGTCTCATTTGCAAATATGGTCCTTGGAGATTCCAGTCTAACCTCATCTGTCAGCCTATCCATCACTTTTGCTAAAGAGGAATATTTCCAATACTGATCATAACATACTGTAGAAAATGACATTGCTGGATCACTGCTGTCAGCAAAAAGATATAAATGTACACAAACTGTCACGGTTGCGAGGTGGTGTTGGACCCAAAATGCAGGCAGGAGGGAGGAGCAGGGTGTACTTGAAGAATTGTATTAAAACAGAGAAAACTAAATCCAAAGCAAACAAAGTCCAAAGTATCAAACAAAACACATGACCGAGGATAAAACATAACAATGACCAAAACAAACATGACAGTAGCACAAAGCAAGAGCAACAAACAAACATGACAGTGGCAAAGAGCAACAATGACCCGACCAAGATTGCTCGGGCTGGGAGTCCTTTTAAAGCTACTAATTATCTAATGACCAACAGGTGTGCAGCTGCAGGGGAGCCCTACAGTGCCACCTGTTGGTCCCAAACCGAATCATGACACAAACACATTTTACATGACTGCTATTGCTGAATTGAAATGTTTTTTTATAATTGTTCTAGTCCTGTATTTATGTATTATTTGCTTTGGCATTTTGTCTTGGTTGCAGTTTAGGTTTGAGACAGCTTGCACTTTAACTTCAGGGTTTACGTTTCTTGGGCAAAACAACCAAACAGTTTTTTTTCCTTTTTAACCAAAGGAATGAATACCGTATTTTCCACACTAAAAGGTGCACTGGGTTATGAGACGCCCCTTCAATGAATGGCCTATTTTTTCTTTTTTTTTTTCATATATTGGACGCACGGCTCTATAAGACGCAATCTACAATGCATCCACTAGATGGAGGTACGCTCAAGAAATACCAACAGAACTGTAGCAACGCGACTCGAGTGAAGCGCGCCTCAGCAGTCCATAGTCCGCTGCTCTCTGCTGTGCGTGCGTGAACGCGAGCACGTACGCACGCGGTTCAACCAATCAGCGCCAACGCAACCACATCACAGATCAAAGCTTTGAACAAACGACAACAGCTAAGCTTAGCTGTCGAGTGGCGTTGCTACAGAACGATCAGATGTCAGTAAAAGTTATTTAATAAACCAGCGACACAGTTCACTTAACCAACAGCAAGTTATAACATTTACTCGTTAACATTGAACTGTTGCTGCTGCTCTATTTCCGTGGTCAACTGCGTAACCCAATCGCCTTAAATTTGAACTCTGCGTTGTAAGCATGTCTCTAGCAAGGACCCATTTTGGGGTTGTCATATTACCGTAATAACCATACACAAGGCACATCGGATTTTAAGGCGCGCCGTGAGCTTTTAAGAAAATGGAAGGCTTTTAGGTGTGCCTTTTACTGCGGAAAATACGGTAATCTCCCTCTCGTGTTGTGCCATGCTTAGCAGCAAATAATCCCAATGTATTTTTTTCTCTCTCCTCAGCTGTTCATTCGCCAACCATCCTCCATCCCCCATCCCCAACTGCCCCCCCTCCACCTTCCCACGCCCTCCTCCACCCTGGTGTGAAAAGTGCAGACAGTGAATAGGTGCACACATGTGCATACTTTTCCTCAGCAACTGCAGAGAGTCAGAGCCATGACTGAGGATTCATCCATCCTCAGCTGAGAGTCATGCTCTGCCTGAGTCCCCTTGGAATGAAATGTATGAAGGGAGAGTTCAAGAGTTCTCTCTGTGTTTTTTTTGGTCATCAAAATGCCCAATTTTACCAAACCTTTGATTTTATTTCTGTGTTTACTCATAACGGGGGAATGCCGTCATCGGGAGCGGAGATGGACGGGAACAGTGGAGACCCAAAAGCATGGCACGTAAGTGACCAAAATGTTATAAAAGCATAAAAGAATTCATGTACTGATTTACCTTTGTTCATTTGGAGAAAATGTGAAAACTTGTATCATCAAGAGCTTCACAGCTGTTTTAAGTTCTATATATCTATATCTATCTATGTCTATATATATCTATCTATCTATATATATATATATATATATATATATAATATACCCACCCGTATTTTCCGGACTAAAAGGTATATATATATATATATACACACACACACACACACACACACACACACACACACACACACACATACTAGACTAGTACTGTACTTCAATTGCAATGGTTTCATAACATACCATTTCCCGGTATGGTAATTAAAAATGGTAACAAATATAACGAGGTGACTTAATCACGCCGTACAGGACAGCATGATGATTAATTTACAGAATTGATTCATGAATACACATATATTGGGGGGTTGATAGAGAAATTGTCAGTTGTGAAATGTGATGGGAAATAATGCTGAGTGAAAATAAGACATCCAGTAAGAGTATCCTTTAAGATAATAATCTATTATAATATATCTTTTAAAATATTGATGTATTCGCACTGTTTTAGAACTTTTTTGCGGGGGGGGTGATTTTATTTTCAATTATTATGATATATATAAATATATATATATAGATATATATATATATCTATATATATCTAAATATAGATAGATAGATAGATAGATAGATAGATAGATAGATAGATAGATTTTTTTTTTTTTAGGCTTATTCCATTGCACATTTGTGACCCAACATAATATAAGAATTGCGAAATTATGTGTGTTTTGCTGGTTTCACTCGACACTGTATTGTTCTGTGTGTGGTGGAAAATATAAAACTAAGAATCCCATTGACCTGAAGCATCACAAATAAGTCAATTGCAGATTGCTACAGCAAAATAATGATGCCTGTTTCTCGTTGTCAAGGGATTCTAGCCAACATCTCCGACAATGCATTAAATTCAAGTCAAACAAGGCCAAAGTGAAATTGTTAGTATATATACAAAAAATAAAAACAATGTTTTGGTAAGCAAAGCTCAAGTGGTGTAAGTAGTGGGTGTCACGGCTCGCTGTGATGAGATGCAAGATCCAAGAGCAGAGAGGCAGGAAAATATTTCAAGTATTTTACAACAAGATCAAATCCAACAAAAGAAATATGCAGAGCACAACCAGTCAGTGGATCATAAGGATTATAAACACATGTTACAGATTTATCATTACAATCATATTTTGGCTCCAATGAAGACAGAAAAAAGAGAAAAAAATTTCCAGGCTCACAGATCTACTCAACACACCTGGACAAGATGTACTATATAAGTGTACGATATACCAGGGGTCACCAACCTTTTTGAGAGTGAGAGCTAGTTCATGTGTCCTGATTGTGTGAAGGGCTACCAAATTGATACACGTCTGAAAAAACATTTGTACAAATTACATTTAATAATATTCGAATGTGTTATTTTGAATACCGTACTTAATGATTTTAATTTTCAGGCTCTGATCATCTTAAAGATGCCTCACAATTCTTCCCATGTTTGCATTTTTAAATCATAATTTCTACGCGTAAATCACAATCCTAGCACTGGCAGGCTATTGGTGTGGTCCTCACGGACTGCCCGCGGGCACCACGTTGGCAACTCCTGCTATATATTGTAGAAATAGTATGTTACAAATCAGTGATATTCGGTGAGGTTCATGCCTCGTGAGGCCCTACTTCCCTTGAGTCAGATCTAAACCTATGAAGCCAAAATCGAAGATTAGCCTTGATTTCAATGTTGACCTTCATTAACTCTTTCAGGGACAGTGCTTACTACAGTGGAGAGCTTATCATGTTATCAGGGTACAGGGTACCTGAAAGGGTTAAAATATGTCCCAAATAAAGTCAGAATTTTAATTCTGAATATCGACATTTCAAAGCTTTTAATTATGATCCAGTTGATGTTCAACAACGTGAAACAAAAGAATCTCAACTCAACTGTATTTATAGGGCACTTTAAAACAACTACCGCTGTAGAAAAAGTGCTGCACATGGAGCAAATATCATATATAAAACAATAAACAACAAAACAATAAATTAAGAACAAAGATAGTAGAAAGCACAAAACCGGCAAAACTAAAAATCAAGTATCATGCTGAGTCAAAAGCCAAAGAATAAAAATGAGTTTTAAGAAGAGTTTTAAAGAGGGCAGCGAGGGGGCTTGCCGAATGTTCAGTGAGAGTTCATTCCAAAGAGAGGCACCAGCAATGGAAAAGGCTCGATCCCCTCTGAGCCTCCACTTCGTTCTCGGTCCCACTAATAATGTCTGGTCTGCAGACCTGAGGCACCGGGGAGGTGTTTAGGGGCGGAGGAACTCAGAGAGGTAAGGTGGAGCGAGGCCATTTCAACATTTGAAAACATAATAGAATCTTCCAGTGAAGGGAATGCCAGAGTAGGAGTTATGTGCTCCCTCTACCAGTCAAGAGGCGAGCAGCAGCATTCTGGACCAAGTGGAGATACTTATTGGAGGATTGACTGACTCCAAAGTAAAGTCCATTACAGTAATCCAGCCGGGATGTGACGAAGGTATGAATTACTGTTTCAAAGTGCTCATGAGAAAGGAGAGATTTTACTTCAGCCAGCTGCCTAAGTTAAAAGAAGCTGCACTGAACAATGGCACCAATTTGCGGGTCCAATTTAAAATCACTGTTCAGTTTAGGACTCAAGTTTGAGACTGTTGGTTTAAGACACGGGTAGAGAGCTCCGGTTCCTCAAGAGCCGTCTCCCGCCTGTTTTAGATCCCTCCCTATTCCAACACACCTGATTTCAATGATCAGCTCATCAGTAAAGCACTGTAGAGGCCTGAAAAGATCATGAGCAATTGAATCAGATGTGATGGAGTAGGAAAGGATCTAAAACAGGCAGGATATCGCTCTCGAGAACCTCTGGCGGAAGATCAGGAGCCAGGGGCCCCAAGTCTGCAGGATGGGATGGTCAAGGGCCACTGGGACCAAAAACCAGCAATTCTGCCTTCTTTTCTTTGAAATTCAAGACATTTAGTGCCATCCAGGTCTTGATTTCCTCCAGACAGGACAAAAGTGGCCTCAATGAGTGGGACATAGATCTGGCAGTCACCCGCATAGCAGTGGAAGGGAATACCATGTTTCCTTAAGATGGAACCTAGCGGGAGCAGATACAGTGAGAACAGCAGAGGCCCCAGAATTAAGCCCTGTTCGAGACAGCATTGGCAAGCTGAGGCTCCAAGCCTGCGGTGAACTTCGCTTCACTTCCTGCTCATTCTTCACAGGAAATATGCACATTCAGCTCTTTTGATGAGGAAATTACTGAAAATTATTGTATTGTAAAAGAAAATCAATGTAACGCATGGACCATAGAACTAAAACGGAACATTATTTAATACAATTAGTTTGTTTTTCTTCCATTTTTTTCTTAATTCTTCACATGCAGAGAACACTCAACAAATGATGCTTGTGAGGCTCTGCCTCACTTGCCGCCCTTGATTGTAAGTCTCTGGTTCAATTGTCTCTTTCATTCTTTTCTTTGTCATGTGCTCATGTTGGAAAAGTTAAAGGGACATGAGTGGGCTGAACATCAGCACTAATATCTATTTGTATAAGTGATGTCAGCAATAAATTTCACCACCTAAAAAAATCTGTATTGGTTTAAAGGTTTTGATCCCTTGTCTTGCAAAGCCCCCCCCCCCCGCCCAACTCCACC